AGGCTTGCACTGGAGAAACAGCCTCACAACCAGTCTGTCTGACCTCTCCCCTGTCCCTGTCTGTCAATCATCTTTGATCTTCTCTTTATCCCAAAGTGCAGGAAAGGACTTTACTCTGATGCTCAAGAAAAGCCAGATTCCATATGGTGACCGTGGTTCAAAACCCCAGCCCAGCCAGCCTGAAACATACCAGGCACATGCAGGAGTGCACAGGGTCTGCTGAGGTGGAGGGCTGGAGGAAGGGGAACACGATGTCACCACATCCTGTGGAGGGTCTCTCTCTCTCACCTGTGCTCACCCATGCTCTGTCATAACTAAAGAATTTTATTAACTATCACATTTAAAAAAAAGAAGAAGAAGAAGGAGAAAACAATTACTTTGGTCCTCTCTCTGAGGTTTTATTTACTAATCTCGTAAAGATTGAACACCTGGTCAGGTTTCATCATAAGCTATTGTCCATCTTCAAGGCCCACTCGCCTCTCAAGGAGAATTGTTTACTCATCATTGTCTGAACACTGGATCCATTCTTTCCCCCTAAAAAATTATTCACTCTAAAACTACTCGTACCCCACATGGCCTCTTTTCTCTGCCGAGTGCATTCAAGTCGCAGCCACGTGGTCCCTTCTCTGGGCTCATGCTTTGTACGGCTGTGTACAAATGAGCACACTAAAGCAGATGCGAATGCCTTCTCTCCTATTAGTCTACCTGCTAGCAGCAGAACCTTTGAAATGGGCCCGGAGATAGCCTCTGCCCTGACAGTAGGCTTTCAGATTCCTTTCTGGTTTTAAAAAAGTGGGACCAGCAGTTAGCGTAATGGCTATGTCGCTGGACTCCCATGTAGTCGACCACAGTTCGAGTCCCAGACCCAATGGCTTAAACTCACGCCAGGCACGTGTGCGTGCGTGCCCAAGATCCCGAGAGGAGAATGGAGGAGAAGGGATTGTGGCGTGGCCATCCGCCCTGGGGGGTGATTTCTCGCTTTCTGTCTCTCTGTCTCTCTCTGTCGTTCTGGCAAGCGCACGTGCCCTATAGGAATAATCTCTCAAAAAAAGAAAAACAAAAAAGATGAGTCAGTCAGGACACCCGCCTTTCCTGCGCTGACCTCCCTACAGGTCTGCCTGTTAGCTGTGAGAAGAGCTAGTGTCCCAAATTACATCCTATTTTTAAAGGCCCTGAATAAGCGAACTAGATAGTGTGGGAAAAGGTAAGGAAGATCCTTGAAAACTAAACTTAGAAATCTAGGTGGTAGTTCTAAAGTATCTCCTTAAAACATCTGTAAGCAGACAAATTAATTATAAAAGCAACATTTCAGCATATGAACTCAACCAATGTATTCAAGAAGGATTTTAGCAGAGCTGAGAACAGAATACAGCTCTTGAGACAAGTAATTTAATCTTAAAATAACAAGTTGAATGAGGAAATTCAATACTCTAGGAATTTTTTGCAAAAGTGAGTTAGGTTCCATCAGAGTGGAATATCATCTGGTTATTTATCTGGGTAACAATGTTTGTAAACATTTATATTGTAAGCTGCTGAGATGACTTTTTCTTTTCACTGCCAGAGAGTGTGTATGCTTTGCTTGCCAGAGACACAGAGAGAGAAAGAGAACACTTCACTGAGGCGTGGACACACCGGAATGCTTTTTCCATTTCCCTTCTGTCAGGACCCTGGGTACACACACAATCATACCTAGCTTGCTTTTCAAGCTGCCAGGGCCAGAATTTAAACTGCAGTTGGCCATTTGGGATCCAGTCTCCCTCACCACTGTTGCTACAGGGCTGGCCCTGTAGAGATGACTTTAAAAAGGGAGAACCATGGCATTCTTGGTCAGTACAAGTGGGATACACCAAGAGAATCAATAACAGGTCTGAAACGCAAACGTCTTTCTCCTCATGAAGATTTAAGACACTGCTCCCTAATTAAATAAGCTAAGAATATCTTTACAAGATCATTTCTCTCATCTATAAAGAGCTGCTATTTAAACAAGAAGATGTCATACTCTCGACACTTAACAAAGCAGAGAAGAATGACATCATCGAAAATGAGACATTGTAACTCTCCACAGCAATTTGCAGTTTATGGCAGTGTAAAACGGGGGCATTCCAAAGGGGCACCGAGCACCCAATGGAAATACACTGGTGCAAATGAATTCCATGGGAAGAAAAATATAGGCAAGTAGAGACAGTGTAGACCAAATCTAGAACTATGGGGCTTCGTTTCTTCCCTCCATCCCTTCCTCCTTTCCTTTCTTTCTTCCCTCTGTCCCTCCCCACATTCTATTTCTAATGCCAAGGTCCTGAGATTAAAAAAATAATAATCAGAAGCAGAATTGAGCCCTGCTCCTCTTCCATGCTTGGAATCAGTGAGAGGGTGGAAGAGGGACCTCTAAGTGGAGCTCTCCATCCATCCATCCTCCAGCCTTGATCACCTCCTGCAAATGGGCAGCTGGGTCCTCTCCAGTTCATTCTGTATGTTGAATTTGTAATTTTATTCTAAAAATGATCGGCATTGAAGATTATTATTACTACCCCATAGAGAATCTTCATGTGCTTACTGCTCAGAGTCCTCTGCCTGGTTCCAGGCTCTCCTCACTTACAGCCTGGCTGCAGCTCCCACCCACCACCTCCAATGGCCCAACCTGAGAGCACCGTTCAGTGAACTCCCGTGTAAGTCAGGAACCCGCGCCATGGGCTTTAAGCTGCAACTGGTCCAGAGAGAATCCTTTTCCCCTAAAGGGCAGGAGTAAAATCAACTAGCTTCTTTTCTATTTCCCTCAGTGCTCAGATACATAGTGGAAAATTAATGTATTTTAAGATTAATCAGAGGGTTCTTCTGTGAGAGAATAATCAATCCAAAAGTCTATCTGCTTAGTGAACACTAATATTTTCATTCTACACTGTATTTTTGTAAGCTCTAAGTAGCAGAGAGGAGATTTCAATTCTCCCACCCTACTGGTGAAAAAGCAAAACAGAGCAACTCTGGAAAACAACTTGCATTAACCTACAGAACACACGCGCATCCCCTGCACAGAGCATCGTCTGCAATAGCAGCAACTGTAAATGACCTAGACAGCAGGTCAGGACCACTGGACCACTGACGACCACAGAGCAGTGGGCAGGGTGGACTGCAGCCGCGTGAGCTAGCATCAGCTACATGCTCAAACACGATGCTATGTGAAAAAAGCAGATTGTCCGTAAAAAAAAAAAAAAATATATATATATATATATATAAATGATGAATAAACAGAAAACAGGATTTCTCTTATAATGTCCAAAAACTGTAAAAGTAAAAAACAGACTCTATTTTAGAAATGTGTACAGGGGGGGAACCAGCAGTTAGCGTAATGGCTATGTCGCTGGACTCCCACGTAGTCGACCGCGGTTCGTGTCTCAGACCCGGTGGCTTAAAACTCACGCCGGGCACGTGTGCATGCGTGCCCAAGATCCCGAGAGGAGAATGGAGGAGAAGGGATTGCGGCGTGACCATCCCCCCTGGGGGGTGATTTCTCGCTTTCTGTCTCTATGTCTCTCTCTGTCTGTCTGGCGAGCGCACGCGCCCTACAATGACAATCTCTCCAAAAAAAAAAGAAATGTGTACAGGGGTAGGAAAAACTATTTAAAAAGGCAAACAAATGATAAACACTAGGTTCAGGATATGGTTACATCTGAGGGGCATAGCAGACCCAAATTAAATATATAGTTAAAGTTCATTTTTTACTAGGTCATGGATAAGAAACTATTGCTAATTGATATCTAATACAAATGGCATATAAAATCTTTCCTATTTAATATTACATTTGTTAAATGTAAATGAAAATTGTTCATCTCTGTAAAAGCTGTTCTAAGTACACGTGACCACTTAAAGGAGCTTAAAAAAGGAGGAAATTTGTTTTCACAGGTATTGGCAGAGAAAAGATACCAGGGTTGCCTGGCAGCGCAGGAAGCTTACAGATGTGAACAATAACTACTTGATTGAAAAGGGGATAAAACTGGCAGACGCCATAGACACTCAGGCAGAAAAACAGTCCTGTCTCGGCCAGAGGGCCTCATTAGGGCAAGTGAGACTTTCAGGGCTGTGGCAAGTCCAGGGCACCAGAACCACAGGGCAGGGTGGGGCATGGGAAGAGGAGCTGGGCAAGAGAAGTGAGTTTGGGAATGCCAGAGAAGAGTCTGGATTCGAGAACAAAGCTGATTCCCGAACCATACAAATACGATGCAGAGATGTTAAGCCAGATGCCAACCCTCTAATTTTATCTATCTTTTTGGTGTTTTGTTTTTAATTCCCAAGTAAATAAAGTTCGTTTCCTTTTCCTTCCGTTTTCTGCCGGTGTAGTTAGGTTGCCGTTTTTTAAGTTCAGACAGTGCATTTCGTGACAGGTTTCCTGCGCGGTGTACAAAGCTGCAGGACTTCAGCTGAGGGTGCAGCTTCCAGGTAGATGTCCAGTTAGAAGAATAGTGTTAACCTGGAATGGCCTGTGGCGAAGTGGGTAAGGTACCAGAATTCCACAGGGCCACCTCCGAGGTTTGAATCCCAGACCCAGTGGCTTGAAAACCACACCAGGCACATGTGCACGCATGTCCCACAATCCCCAAAGTAAGGAGAAATAGAGAAGGGACTGCAACCTGCCCATTCCCCTGAGGGGTACTTTCTCATTTCTCTCTCTGTCTCTCTCTCTCTCTCTGACAAGTGCATGTACCATTTAGAAAAAAAAAAGAAAAAGGAATTATAGTATTAACACAAATCTCTCTTCAAATCTAGAATTATGAAGCTTTTTTAAGCTCTTTCAAGTCATTACTGAATACCAGCTTAAGTTTTTAAAGTCTAGAAGTAATGTTAAAACCAAATTAATTTCCACTCAGTACTACATTCAATTCAAGCTTTTAAGAAATACAATGTTCATCTTTCCCAGCATTCACAACCCAAATCATTCGGGACACATTGTTCTTTATTATTCACACAGTACAATTTTACATTGATTTATAGAATTAAAATCACCTTACCTGCACTTTTTTTAAAGCTACTGCCACTCCATTCAAGAGACAGGCTGCTCTATAAACTTCACTAAATTGTCCACGACCAATTTTCTTTTCTATCCGAAAGTTGGCCAATGTATTATAGCCCATATCCGGTCTTAAGGCTTTCTGTAATTAAAACATCAGAAAAGTTTTCAACCACACAATATACACACAATCATAGATCATTTTCACCAGAGGATGGTACCTATGGTATGCTTGCAAACATCCATTCATTCAACAAATACAAGGGCAATCTTGAAAAGTTCATGGATATGTACATTATGAAAAAAATATGCATTTTTGCACTAAAATAAACTCATACTTTAATTCAACTTTTCGACAAATTTTTTGAAGTTTCCTCATATTTTCAAACACCTACTCATACCAAGCACTGAGGATACAGTGGCAAACTAAAGAAAAGTCACTGCATTAAAAGAATTTCATTCTACTTTGGGAGGGATAACAAACGGTAAATATATAATATGAATACGATATGGGATATTGTAAAAGTTGAAGGACGAGAGAGATGACATAGGCATCAGAAGGATTTTGAAAGTTCAGATGGAATTGCTCTGGGACTTGTCTTTAGTTTACAAAATACGAACTTGTCCCATCCAATCTGGTAGTTCTGATAGGTCTTTTCAGAGACTCTCGGAGTTGAAATGGACCTTATATGTAGGCATTTAGTCTAACCTGTCACCAAAGCATGAAACACATCTCAACTCTGACAGTTACTTAACTTCTGCAAACAACATTCCCAGTGGCAGGAAGTTTACCACCCCATCATTACCTTTTTTAACAATATTTTTTTATTTTTAATTCATGAAATTAGCTTTTTTTTTGCTTTTTTTGGTAAGTTTTTATTGATGTCTTTCTTTCCTAAATAGGAAAGACACGAAGAGTAAGAGAGACAGTGAGCCAGCACCTTCAACAGTGTCTGGACGCGGAGATAGACGCCCCTCCTCCATTAGCCCAACCATGGGCACGCAGAAGGTCTCCGGGCATGGGGGAGGTCTCTGGGTACACAAGAGGTCTCCAGATATGAACCTAGAACTCTCCCACGGGGGCCGGCTTGGCAGGGCATCGTGTTTTACCACTGTGCGACTATCTGCCTTGTCGCTCTTTTTTGCTAACACTTCTAGTACTCTCTATCTGCCAGGCACAGTGCTAGATACTAAGGAAACAGAGATAAATCAGAAATGTGTTCCACTCTCAAACACCTTACCCAGAGACATAATTATTTCTCTCACTGTGCTATGAGAGAAATAATTATAGGGTTTTGTGGGGACACAGTAGTAGTCTCTATTTATAAGCAAAACTGAGCCTATCCATTTTACCTACTGCCCTAGTTCTTTTCTGTCTGTTCTTGGACTCATTTTCTTTGGTTACAGCAGTAAATATTAACTGAACAGCCATTACACCAGGCACTGTCTATTTTCTGGGGTTCTAAGACACCAAGACACCCAACATATATGCCATTCTCGCTTCTCATGGCACTCCTGTTAACATCTTGACCTACATCAAATACAACAAAATAGTCTATATTAGCTATCCTATCTCCTCTATCTTCTTTTTTCTGACTAAACATGCCTCGGCCTCAACGAGATCCCTGAATTATTGATGAGGACCGTCTTCCAAGCCGTTTACCGTCTCTTTTTTTTGGAGAGGTTTTTGCTATAGGGCACGTGCGCTCGCCAGACACACAGAGAGAGACAGAGACAGAGAGACAGAAAGCGAGCAATCACCAGGGGGGATGGCCACACCGTGTTACAGCTGATGACCCCTGGCCTTATGAAGAAGACTATATCAATATATGAGTAGTACTTTACATTAACCCCTGGTCTATATGATCTTGCTAATTTCATTGCATCTATCACGCTAACAAACAGTGATGTTCTACTAAGGAGGCATTGTAATTCAAATCCAATGTTTCTCAAAAAAAGAAAGAAAAGAAGCAATAATTTCCGTTACTATATATTGCTTTTTTTTCTTTTATAAGTTCAAAAAAAGGGGCTGGCAGGTGGCGTGGTGGTTAGGGCCCTGGCCTCCCACATGGCTGACTGCAGCTCAAGTCCCAAACCGTGGTCTGCTTAATCACTTTCTCTCTCTCTCTCTGGTCAAATGAAATAAATAAATTTAATTTAATTTAAAAATTTCTTTAAAAAAAGTTCAAAAAATACCATTATTCCTTTAAAATGTGAAGAATAACCAGGATAGAATACAAGAAATTGAATTAATTCATTTCCCAATTTGGGATCATAAGGCAACTGATGTGATAAAACAGTAAGAGGAAACAACGAGGCAATAGAAGGTTCTATTTTGGTGCCTACGGCTTAGCAGGCACTAGCTATCAAGCCTTTATATGCCAAATAATTCAATTCCCATGCTGATCCTCTAGTATAAATATTATCTAACTAGACCCATGTCTGGCTGATTCCCAAGTACAGCCTGTGCTATATAGCCATAGTTATGAAGCAAAGCACCCAAAACTGGACTTCTCTTTATGGGACTGTACATGGTAATCCACAGATATTTTCCATTGCAATTATTTTGATTACAAAAAAATGGGAAGAGAAACATGTTGAAAATGAAAAAAAAAAAAAAACTGTACTATAATAAGAAAAAGCAAGCCAAAGCAAAATTATCTCATAAAGGGAAAGAACTTGCCATGCTGTTCATTTACAAGAGAATTTCTATTCATAGCCACTGGGTTTATCATTTAAGTGTCACTGTGTCCAAATGGCATTATATTTAACAAAAGAAACTCCCAAACTACTACTTTTCAGATATAGTCAATGGATATTAGCAATTTCCTATAATTTTTTCATTTTAAATAAAGGTTTCAATTTAAAAGGAGAGAATTTTTTTTATATTTTGACACCCGAGGACAGCCTTACGTCTGAGAAACAGAATTCCAGAGACCATGTGGCCTCTTGATGAAGACTTGCCAGTCTCCACAGTGAAATACAGATACAGCTTCATCATTAGGAACACGATGGTGCGATCCATATACTTCAAATCTGACTGGGAATCCCATCTTCTGTCTGCACAATAACTTGACAAACATTAGCGTGAACTGCTAAGGCAGTGTGACAGCCACACGCTGAGAGCAAAGTCTCACTAATGTGTTTTGGCATGCAGGTTTGTAATCACACATTTACATATGCAATGACCTACATTTGCATGTCAGATCACACACTGTCTTGGTTTATTAAGACTGGGCACCTCCCTGTGCTTGGCGGCCAGCGTGGCGAGAGAGGGCCAGAGGGCGGTGTTTTTTGGCAGTTGAGGGATGAACTGCCACCAAGGATTAGGTTGATATGGCCTGAGCATTAGACACTTCATTAGACGTAATCTGTTTAACAGTGGGCAGTGTATGTAAACTTCACAGCCCATTTGCGGCACCTTTTTCCCCCCATGGCCTTTCTTCAAAGGGCAGCGTGGGTGAGTGACAGCTTGTCTCATCTGCTCCCGTGTCCTGTCACCCAGTGTAGACGTGGAGAGCTGACATGAGAAGGAGCATAGCTGCACATCTCCAACTACCCTTGGGTCTCTGTGCCACACTACAATTTGTATAAAAACAAGTGCGCATGGGATGAGGTCTCCTTTAGCAGATCATGAGGCACGGAATACCCTTCATTGTGATGACTCACATCCCGGTCTAGGTAGCATGATGTTTGGTGCTCTAAATACAAGATGACATCATCACATGAGTCCCCACCCAACTGAAGAACTCTTTTTAGGCAAGAGTTATATTTCATTTTGAATGATGAAAAGCTCCCTGTATTTTTTTAGTTTAGCATCATGAGTTAAACAAGGAATATAACTCAAAGAATGAGATTCAAATCAGTAGGAAATATAAGCCAAATAAAATCCCTAAACTGACTTGATGCTGTTCTCAATTTAGAAAGTGAACTGAGTCTCAGTTTCTTCTTGCAGCTCCTCAATGACCAGGTGTTTTTCTAAGCTGCACAAAATGGCTTCTGGAATTGACAGGGGTCTCTTAAAGACCTTCAACCTTTCTGAGAGTGAAAACCTGCATTGTTTTTTCAAGCAGAAAATGAAGAAGAAATAATGATAATGACACCTTACCTATGACGGAAACCTTTTAAAGCCACTTCTGCACCTGGTCCCCTGTCCCACCCCAGCTGCACCAAATACGTCCAAGAGCACAGTGAGTGGGCTGCAGCCTCACCTCAGTCTGGCATGTGCTTGTTCCAGGCCTTCTGAGTGACCTCCTGTTTCACCCCTGACAAACTACAACTCATCTTTGAGATTCAGTTCCATTGTCCTTTCTTCCTTCTTTTCCTCTCGTTTTCCTTAAGTTTATTTATCTGTTTCATCAGAGAGAGACAAGTACCCTTGACAGGGTCCCTCCCGCCAGCAGAGAATGGCTGTAATTATCACTAGGCTCTAAGGAGAAGTTGGTACGATGCAGTCAAGCACAGTGGCGAGAACACCAAGCCCACAATGCAAGGCGACTACCTCTGCCTTGAACAGGTTCCCACAGGTGAATTCAGGGAATTCCCTTTAATCTCCACTATTAAGGGAAACTTAAGTAAGAAATCACTGATCCCTGTTAGAGAAATAAGGGAAGCGCTGAACACCGTGCTAGATTTCAAATCAATCTTGCTCCAAAGCCTGACTTAGGCATTGCTGTACAAAAGAATCCACTACATTCCCAGAGTCAGAGAGAAAGTCCTTGTGTAGAATAGGAGTAAGCCCACCTCAAAGAGCTGTGTCTAAGTGAGAAGATGAACACAAAGCACCTTGGACAGCACCACGCACACGATGTGTGCAATACGGAGACTTTCCGTTCCCAAGACTGCCCTGGTACGGATAACCCAGTACCTCCAAGCCAAGGCTCTTGTATTTGCAGGTCCTCCTTTATTTGCTCAATAAAGACTAAAATTCTTCTTCGGTCCCTACCTCCATTCCCTTTCCTAATTCCTCTTTTCTCTGAATGTGTCTCCATCTGTTGCTAGATTTCCCCTATGCCAATGGAAGACTTACTAGGAGCTCCAAGTATCACCCGATCCTGGGCTTTCTCTTCCAACTGGGATACTCCACTTACCATAGATTATCTTCCTGATTCATCAATAAAAATAGCCTAACCTCTTGGTTAT